CCGCCTGCGCCGTGCCGTCGCCATCACCGCGCTGCATCTTCGGTTTTAATTTCTGTCCAAACGTCCGTCTTTCTCCACCGCTTCCTTCCAATCAGTTCTCTAACCCGGTGGTACAGTCACAGTCGAACGTATTGTTGTAAAGAAAAGGACAAAATTCACACTCAAATGACTAGAAACTGAAAAAAGTAATAATAAATAAAAATTTGTTAAATTATAATTTAGTGAAATAAGATGTGGGTTTTGAATTGTGGTTGAAAGAATAATTTTTAAAAAATAAAAAAACTGGACCAATGAGAGGCCTTTGCTGATGAGCAGGTGAGCAGTGGTCCAGAATACCTGTCAACAGGTGCACAAGTCTGACTGAGAGTTACAGAAACACCTGATTGGCTCAGAGGGTTGTTCAATGAAATAGTTCATGGATCCCATCAGGCTGGTTTGCTGCTTTTTTAAAAGTATATTCCTGTTGAACCACAATTCAAAAGCAACGTCATGATGTTCATTAATTTTTATTTATTATTACTTCTGTCAGTTTCGACTTATTTTTCCTTCTTTAACGGGACGATATGAACACATCTGAGGACGACTGTGATTCCAAAGACTGATTTTTTAAACACACAGAAAACAAAAAAGAAGCCTTTTTGATTCTTAAATCAGAGCAGTGTGAAGGTGTGCACCGCCGTTCTGTGTTTTAGATGATAAATGTTTAAGGAAAGCTTTTACACTTGCTGCATTTTCACATTACAGTTAAAAGGTTTTTTTGCCATTTGTCACGTCCAAACCCTGAATTCCTCATATTCAAGGACCGTTTTTCTACATTGCTGCGGGCAGAGAACAAGAAAAAGTCTTCTTCTGTCCTAAATGAGTTTATGTGAACCGCTCCAGATCTCTGTTAATGCAAGGTGACATGTTTTCATCCTTGTAAATGTGTTTTTATGTCTTGTTTTTAGGTATGAAGGTGAATTCGTGCAGGGAAAGTTCCAAGGTGCCGGCGTCTTCACTCGCTTCGATGGCATGAGGTTCGAGGGCGAGTTTAAAGGCGGCTGCGTGGACGGCTACGGTGAGGCTTGATTAAACTGGGACGGGTGTTTTAAAATGACATCAACTCATCTGCAGTGATTTGTGATGGCGCAGTAACTCCAGAACTTGCTGAACTTCCCCGCGTGGGGCCTGTATTTTTAAAACAGTAAATCCAAAGTGTTAATTTTTAATTTTACACAACAGCAAACACCCACTGTTGAACTTCTCAGGAGCATTTCTTCTTCTTCTTACTGCAACAAATCATTTGACATTCAAATGATATTGCACGTCGTCGTACTCGCTTCCACTGTGTACTCTATCTGTCTGCGCTCTTTGTTCCTCTTTTCCAAACGTTGGAAGTAGTTTTTAATTACATTAAACAGTGAAATGTGCTAATTGTCTGGTCTGAAGCTCCTGTGTGTGTCTGGGCTCGGAGTCTCTGGAGGTAATCAACACGTTTTTATTTGAGGGCTGCTGGGTGGCGAGGGCGGATCGACGTGTCACCGCCAGAACTGGCGGATTTTTGTTGCTTGTAAAAATAGAGACGGAACGTAAAGATTCCTTTAGTTTTCTGACACGTGAGAGAACCAGAAGTCACAGCGTGGCCTGTTTTTAAAAGGAGGGCCTTGAGTTCTAAATGTTGTTTCTATGCAGCTTTTAGATAAATATTAACCCGAGTTCAGGTGAACGGTTAACCCTAAAACGGGAACAAGAGCTCAAAGAGACGAGGACGACACCAGCAGGGTTCTGAGCCTCTTTGAAGGAGAGAAAAATGACTTTGATTTGTTGCAGCCGCATTTTGAATTGAATTTTGCAGATTTACGTTGATCCTCTGAGACACATGTGACAGTTTTATAGTTTGTTTTCTTGCCTTATTGATGCCGTCGGGGGAAATTGCTTTCAGTTACTCCCAATCAAAAGTCTTAAAGAAGTAGGAGAGTACAAATATATAATAGAATGTAAAGTATTAATACGAAAATAAAATAAAAATAAATAAAAATATAACTCAAAATAAACGGCGACTGCCGAAGGAACCAGAGCCCAGCATCAGAAAATTTATGACTGGACTCGTTGCACAGGTGGCGTCCTATCACAGAACCACGATGGAGCTCCTGAGAGCGACCCAGTCTTTTTACAAACAGTCTGCATGTCTAGGTTCTGGAATTTATCCAGCTGTGGCCATGGAGGTGATTGGAACTCATGGTTTTGGTTATTTGGATGGTGAGTGAATACTTTTGGCAGCATAGTGTATGTCAGACCAGAAGTTACTGAGCTGCCAGACCAGGTGCACCAGTGAGTCTTCATCAGCGCCTCACTCATCACGCTGAAACTGTTCAGAACAATGCAGATCCGCTTCCACTGAGTTCTGCTGTTAAGGCCCGTCAGCTTTTGGACTCCTTGCAGAATCACTTTTAAGTTTTAAAAAAAAAACGTCTTGCTTTTTGCATCTTTGAAATGTGTTAGCTCCATTTTTTTTCCAGTCTTGTGTTTGAGACATATTTAATTTGATTTCCTAACCTTAAAGGAATCGTCCAGCTTTTTTAGAAACACGCTCCCTGCTGCTAGCTGCTAGCTGCTAGCCAGGCTGCTGCCGAAGGAAACAAAAACCTGCCCAGCAGCACCTCCGAAGCCCCAGCTCACACCATCTATCTAGTTTGTTCAATCTCCACAAAACAGCGAAGTGTAAAAATGGCAGCTCATTGTTTTGAGGAGTGTTGTGGCAGAGCAACCTGTTGATTAGTCCCCACTTGTTGCCAGGCAACTTGGCCCAAAGACGCAGCCTCGGATGTCAAAGTCTGCGGCGTGTATGTGAACCATGCAGCCTTTGAACCTTCCCTCTGACTTCTGTGAACAACATCACACGTTGCCGGCGAACATAATGCAGACGGCAATTACAGCTATTTTCAGAGCCAGAAAATTCAGGTAACTCGGTTATGAACTGTCAGTAAACGCAGCGCTGCGATCCGCGGCCTCGTGGCGCTCGTTTGATGAAGCGCGTCGCCGCTTCAACGTGTCTTTTAGTCACGTTCCCTGTTTTCTTTGATAAAAGCCGCTCTGTCTGGTGCAGGAGTGCTGACGTTCGTGGACGGAGGCCCCGGTGGTGGCGGCGGCGGCGGAGGAGGAGGCGGCTGCAGCCACGAAGGCCTGTTTGAGACCAACCAGCTGATGAGGAGAGAGAGCAGCCAGGGAGCCGTGCAGAGGGCGCAGGCGGCCGCCGCCAAAGCCCGAGCCCTGGCCATGTGACCACCCAGCGCCGGGATCGTCCTCCCGCCGTCCTGCTCTCGGTTGGAGCTGCTGACTGTGTTATTTATAAAGCGATTCATTTCATCGTGTCCTCAGTTTCCTTTTCATCCAGTTTTTCTTTCGACTGCTGTAAGTCACGGTTTAATTGCTTTGTGTGTATTTTTATTTTCTTTCCTTTCTCTCGTGTCAACGCGACCACTGATTCAGGATCGGCTGAGCCACACACAGATTTACTGTTCAGTCGACACGCTGGTGCTAAATCTGCTTCAGGTTCAGCCAACTCGACTCAGCTCTGGATTCAAAAAGTGCATCTGGACGTTTTCCAGCAAACACTGATTTGGTGATTTTCACGTCAAAGGACATCGATGTGGATTTCAGCTGGGCTAAATGTAGTTATTCAAAAATGTGTTTGTGTTTTTTTTATTTGTGTAAATTAATACGTATTGTTATCGTCGTCCTAATCGAGTCACGTTCCTGAATCCTTTAGTGATTCAAATCTTATTTTATTTAAATCGCTAAAACCCAAAGAATCAGTTTGGACCTGACAGGAGGGAACATTTAGTCGCAGCTTAATTAAAGTTTATCGATATAATAAGTGTAAAAGGTTCTTAAACTGAAGTGACAAAACCAGAAAACAAACCACTGAGACGGCGAGGCTTTGTTCTGCAGAAAGAACATCAACCAGACAAAGTTAGGGTTTTTTTTTTTTTTAGGCCTTTAACAGTTTAATTAATTAATGTTTTGGCTCATTGATTTGTGTAATTTTAAGAGATGAAAGCAGTCAAAGAATGATTTTGACTCAGGAATGATTTTTACTTTAAAAAAAAAACAGAATAATGGGAGTAAAATATGGTTCAATAAGAGATTTGGCAGCCGGGCAGCAGATCCAGTTCCACCCCGGACGTCATAATCTGGCGTTGAAGGCGCTTCACGTTCATTTAAACACCGTTCAAATACAAGAACTGCTGGCGACGCTTTACGGCTCTGTAATACGATCCTGATAATTTCCTGGGCAGTTTTCCAGAAAGAACTGTGTCACTCGGTGCTAATTATACAGAACACCGAGACCGTGCCGAAGTGGAACACCTTCACTTAATTAATTCCAGTGAACTAGTTAATTGCTTTAGACAGTGCAGCGGAGGTCAGCTGATACTGCAGAAATGTTAAAAATTTGTCTACATGCGAGCGTACGGTTCGGTTTCCTGTAACTAAAAAAAATTTAATCAGCTTATTGCTAAAACAACTGAAGGTTTGCTCCTGTGTTTGGTAGCAATTAATACACCTCTCTAATTATTCATCAGACCCCGTTTTCCACGACGTTCCAGCTAAACTCCGGTGTTGATTTACACATCGGCGTGTGTTTTGATCGTCAAATCGACCAAATCATTGCTTGCTGGGTCTCCAGTCTTCCCTTTAAGAGGCGCATTTCTTCTGACTTCTAAGTGGTGCTCGAATCAGAATATAAATTGTTTACTGTAAGTTAGAAATGTAAAAAAAAAAAAAACAGGGTGTCGATCTCGGCTGGAGAAAATGTGAGCAATTTTAGTTGTTTTTTTTTTATTTTTTTCTTTTCACTCAGTGCCGTTATTACAGCTCAGTCTGATTTCCGATCAGCAGGAACGTCCTCCTCAGTGCCAACCACACAGTGCCAACGGGCTGCAGCTGATCCCGAGTCAGTGGCTCTTCATCGCAGGTGGAGGATGGAGGCGGGAGGCAGGGGGATGAGCAGCACAGGGGAATGGAAGGACCCATCATTGTCGCAGGCTGCAGTAATGAGTGCAATTTCTGTTTTGGAGGTGCAATTTGATAATAGCGTGCAATTTCTGCCTGAAAGCAAGATTTCCCTTCCAGCCGGCTTTCACGTCGGGAGGAAGGGGAGCAGCCGGCTGTCTGCAGGCCGGAGAGAGGTTCGTCTGACGAGGCGGAGGCTGCACGTCAAAAGGCTGAACACGAGGAGTTTCATTACAGAAGCAGACAAAACCTGTCTTCTATAGATCTGAGATTTATTTACCAGAAAACACTGGTTTCTTCTGGTTTCTGTGTGTTTTCCAAATGAAACTCTTCACTCTTATTTTCCAGGGAGGTTAAAAACATTCTCCGTGCAGCTTTTCTTTTCTTTTTTTCTTCACAACCCCTAATCAAGGATGTCACTTTTGATGTTTACTGTTTGTGTGTAATCCATCAACTCCCTCCTTCCCTCAAAAAAAAAAAAAAAAAAAAACACAACAACAACAAAAAAAAAAAAGCATCACTGTTGTGAATTTAACAACACTTGCGATAAGCTCTAACACATACTTCACGCGTGCGTCGTGCCTGCTGGGAATCAGCGTCTGTCCGTGTAATGAGACTGGTGTAGATGTGCCATATGTGTGTGTGCAGTCGTGCCACGGTGGGCGGGGGTTGGGCTATTAAACGGGAAAAGGAGTTAATTGTCAGTTATGTGAATATCTGGGAGTGCGATTAATTTAGGTTGTGGTTTTGGGGGGCTGATGCCTTTCCCTGCTGGCCCATTTGACAGCGACATCAAAAACAACTGAGCTGATGGAGGCATCTCACACCTTTTAATTGGCTCTGGGATGTGAACAGACACTGTTAAACGCACTTGACTGCTGCCTTTATCAGACTTGGTGTTCGGGGTGGGGAGGGGATCCACTGAACTGATCTGTCGGTCTTGGTCACCGTGTTATTTCCTGGTGAAAATCTTGTGATCTGTGTCTTTAGTGATTTTAATCTTTTTATTTTTTATTTTTGAATGATCCCGTGTTCCTTCATCGTGAAACCCTTTAAAACGCACCTTAAACGCTCGACTTGAAAAGTTGCCGTTTGATATTAACCGACCGTCACTCGGCGGCAGCTGAGTTACGCCGTCCCGCGTCGACGTGACTGATTTCACTGTTTCACTGTGATGCGTGTCCATGAGGAAGGCGGGTCCATCAAAACCCAGCCTGAAGCTAAACTCACAGGTTTCTTTCCACCTCTGGTGAAGGCTGAACGTCCCAACAGGATGTCAGGGGAGAAGAGAGTTTAATCTCTCCTGTGACATGTTGATCAGTTGATCAGCCCTGCTATTGATTAAATAGATAAAATAGATGTAGCTCACCTGGTTGAGCTGGTGTCCCATGTACGGCGGCTACAGGCCCGATGTGGAGGTCGTGAGTTCAAGTCCTGCTCGTGGTGGCTTTCTGCAGGTTCTTCTCGTCTCAACCGCGCTATAAAATAAAAGCCAAAAACAAATATCTATAAATAAAAATATACTTTAGCCTTAAACTAAAATTATTAATCAGATGTTCACCAGAAGATTACGTGAATAGCTGGAGTTGTTTTAGCTTAGCTTAGCTCAGCAGGCTAGCTCCTCCTGGCCTTCATGCTAAGCTACGCTGCTCGTGTGACTCTTTCCAAACAGAAACCACGATGCAACAGTGCAACGCTTTGAGAGGACCGATATCAGTTTGATTCAGCTGGAAGCCGGATATTATTCACAGACAAAGCTGCGCTGGTCGTCTCCTCCACTGCAAAGCGATGCTAAATACAAACACAAGTTGTTTTAATTAGACCCGAGTTACAGCCCAAAACTGAAATGTACTTTCAGTTTGCGCCACATTCCAAACATGTTTCAAATCAATGTATAATTGACATTTCACCATTTCTTCTTCTTCTTCTTCTTCTTCTTCTTCTTCTACATCCAATTGTATATCGCCACTCTGGTCACCTGGAAAAAGGAGGAGAAGCTTTTAACATGTATCTGTGAAGACTCTCAGTCCTCCAGGTCCTGGTTCTTCTGGTAGATTAATCGACTCGCTTGAGTTCCTTGAAGACGTTCCACCTCTCATCCAAGAGGCTTCATCAGCTCTGACTGACTGGTTGGGAGATCCTCCTTAAAGAGCCGTTAACACCTGAGTTTTAATTGGGGGTTTGTTGCTCCTCCCCCTCGTTATGTGACTCGTTAGTGCTCCTCTTGCTGCAGTCGGGTTCGTTTGGGTCTTTTGTGGCTCGGTTACCTTTAAGGATATCTGGAACTCCCAACTAGTCAGTCAGAGCTGATGAAGCCTCTTGGATGAGAAGTGGAACGTCTTCAAGGAACTCTAACATGAAGTGAAAGGGTCGTATTTTAGCCCAACATAAGACCTTCTTAGTGCTAAAGCTAGCCAGGTAGCTTTGGCACCAAACAGTGAGTGAAAATGAGTCGAAGCACAACGATCAAAGTCCTGCAGCTGCATCCTGGAAACCTTTTCCCTCGACATCATGCCTTTCAGTGAGAAAAAGGAAATTAAAGCATCCTTTAAAAGCGTTTAGCTGCAGTTTAGTCGTACAGGAACATCATTTTTACCCTGTTGCCGGGTAGGACGACAATTAAGAAGCTTTCCAAAAAGAACAAATGCCGACAACATTACAGGCGTTGATTTGGATCATTCATAAGATTAAAGGAAGAGATCGCTGAATGCCAGATTTTCTTTTTCCAAACACGTGGAATGAAACAGTGGTGAGTTTAGTTTTGGAGCGGATTTCAATCTGATGCCTTTTAAATGGGTTGTTCTAGCGTGGAGGCGATTTACCGTCGTCACCGAGGCTCCAAGACTGTTTCATTTGCATCCAAACTCCGTCGTCGTCAAGAGAAACTTCCGAGTCTGCGTTGAGAAAACCTGTCACCGAGCTCACCCACATGTGAAGAAGTTAACCTTTAATTTCATCCGTTCCACCGTCGTCTTCACGTCTCACACACTCGCTCACACACTCTGGAGCTTGTGCCGTCCTCGTGTCGCGGCGCAAACCAAAAAAAATCCATTTCACCGCCACAACAGTTCAATCAAGGCTTAATCTAAAAAAATAAAAATAAAAATCACACAGAAAGAGTTTATTGAGTGCCTGAACAAAAAACCTTCTTCTACTGTGCTTTGAATACTTTGAATATTGCCTGACTGTTTTACTAACGTTTTCTTAAGTGTCACTGCTTTTTTAAACACTCGTCGTCTTTCCGGTGAAGTTTGAGCGGGAGGGCGGCG